AGGGTGGACTAGGTGCTAGTGTCAGTGCATAGCTTCCCAAGGGGAGTACTTCGAAGGTGACCATAGTGATATTCAGCAGTGAGGTATGTAGCACTTGTTCTAGGATGAGTTCAAGAACTTAATTGTCCTACCTCATATTTCTCTTCCCATAGTGTGAAGCAACAATGTTTCTGCTCAGTTTCTTTCGTTTTATATTTTAGCCTGACTTCCCAGTGTTTGGCCCCATGTCACACAGGTTAGTGGGTAGCTGATGATGTAGGCAGGGTTTGGAGCTTTTAAGGCTTCCACCCTCTGCCGACCAGTCTGTGTGTATAGGCTGGGGAGAATATTCAAAGTTCAGTCAATTCTTAACCTCTCTGGTCTTTTACTTTCTGATGGGATCTGTATGGTCTGTCCTGCATATGCCCGTGTTTCAATCACCCAGATGTATGAGGAACTTACCTAGTTCTATGAATCTCCGGTTTCCAGGGCCTCATGCTACGTTTCTTACTGGTTCACTGCTCACTAGAACCTCAGGCTAGCTAAGTTACATGATTCTCCCATTCATTTCCTAATGAGTTCACCACTTTTAGTTGACAAATCAATGATCTTTTTTCCTCTTCTTCAAACCAAGTCTGTCCCTTATAGCAGAAAAGCTAATGATTTTCCAAGTCAGCCCACGCTCTATTCTTGCCAACAGCTTAGGAGTAAGGGTGATAGGTGCAGTCTTCAGCAAGAAGGCTACAGACGCCCACTGTCCTTACAAAATTCTGGCAAGAACTGTTTTTAACCATAAATGCTACTCAATTTCTGGTCTGCCTTTGGTCAATTTCCAGAGCCCTGAAAATTGCTTTTGACAATTTAGTCCTGTTTTATACTTGATTCTTGTGAGGATTCACTTACTTCTTCATGCCACCATAGCCAATGTCCCCTTTATCCTAAATCTTTCTGAACACATTTAAGTATAGTTATTTTAAAGCCTGTCTGTGATACCTTTGATATCTCTGTGTGTGTGTCTATTTTTATTGTTTTTCTTTTCAATGACATGTTATTTCTTAATGAGCCTGATTATTTTAGATTGAATGCAGACATTGTAACTGCAAATAAGAACTAATTTGAAGCTTGGGATGATGTCATTTCCTGTAATATCAAATTAGAGATTGGAATTATTTGAAGTTGGAGATTATTTTCTGTTAGGACTAGTCTATTTAAGGTTCACCCTTCCTCCTAGGATGTCCTATTCTCTTCATGATTTTAACTCAAATTGTCAGGACGTTACCAGATTGGCAGGCCCCCAGACTCCAATTTTTCTTATTTTCTTAGTCTTTCAGGTTCCTCTTCTGAAATCAGTAGATTCTATTTTAGGAAAAACAGCCCCAAATACCAGGCACAGCACCTGGTTATTCTTTATGTCCTAGACCATGGCCTCAAAAGTTATTAACTTTTTAGTAGTATTTCCATGCCTTCCAGCAATTAAAAACATTTCTATTTTTTTGTTGTTGTTTTTTAGCTGAGCCATCCTGAAAAACATTTCTTTTTTTTTTTTNTCCGCTTACCTAGTCCTTTGACAAACTTCATAAGGCACATGATGTAACTAGTGGCTGCATTCGCAAAGACCTGAATGTTGTCAGTATTGAGAAAGGCTTCAAAAACATCAAACACTGGAGCTTGGCCTTTTCCTGAGGGAGAAAGGTAGTAGATGTTTAAGAAAGTTAAGTCTCTACGCTTCAGGTTGCCCATATTTCCAGTGCTTTCCACGGGGCCTTGGAAAAAATTTGCTGGAGAAAAGCCAAGGCCTTTTGCGATGTGCAACTGCCTTGGCTCCAATGCTGTACTTCTCAGCTTTGCCTGCAGGGGGAGCTGCAGGGAGACTAAGAAAAGAGCTCAGTAGAGAGAGCCGGGCAGAGGTGGCTGCACAGTGCTGGGCGAAGGCAATGTGTAGGTCTACAGGGCAGGGAAACACGTGGGCCTCTGGAATTCTCCTGCACACATCGTTACAGGGAAGGGAAGGTTTAGACAAATCCCTCATGGCATATACGAATTCATTCATACCTATGCAGAAAAGAATTAACATAAAAGGCTGACGACTGTTATCCTTCACAAGGCCTGTTGGTAAGGCTGGCCCTTGGCTGGCATCTGAGAAGTCGGCCCTCAGAATATCCCCAGGAAACAGTTTACTGATAATGCGGTTCACTGTACTACACTGTTTGTGCAAGCAATGGTTTATTCAGAACGCCTGCTTTTCCTTCAGCGAGTCTAGAATTTTGGTATGTGCTAGGCAGAGGGTACCTACATTAACAAGCCCTCAGCTGGGTCTCTAAATGCACTTCACTGGGCAGAAACATGAAACATCATACACATGTGGCTGCATTTTCACTGCTGGGGAAGAGTGGGCTCTGTGGGACCCATCTTGGGAGGGTGAGAACACAAGGAAATGTGCACAGGGTTTCCTACAGACTCTGTCTGTTTTTTCCCCCATATAATCTGGCTTGTCCTTACTATGTCGCCATAATAAATCTTAGCTGTGAGCCACGTAATAAATCTTAGCACAACTACATGCTGAGTCCCATGTGTCCTTCTGGTGGGTCTCTAAATGTAGGGGTGGTCTTGGGGATCCCTGACATGACACCCCTGGTATTACTGGGCATGCTTTATGGGCACCCATCCATTTCCAGCCAGACCCGGTCTCCTTATTTGGAGTCCTCTGTGTTATGATAGCTTTCTGCTTCTTACTAGCAAGTGAATGACATCCTTCTTTTTGGCTTTGGGAATAAACTCAATATACGTGTGTGTAAGTGAAACAACAGAAGTCCCTCAGCCTTTTGTCCAATCTATCAATAAGAATAGGGCCTGATAATGGTCAGGACTCTCGGCCTGCTGACAGAACACAGAACTTGTGTCCCTGCTACACCAGATTATTTCCTGCCGATAAAACATGGCTAGATGTCAGCCTTCCTTCCCTACGGTTCAATTTCTTTTGATCGCATGAAACTTGGCATAAAGAACTAATGCTCTACAGCAAGAATCAGCCGCAAATCCTTCCCACTATCACCACTCCTTTGCAGTTCTTCTCCAGAGCCATTAAGCAAGAAAAAGCAGTACAGGGCATCCAAATTGGAAAGGAAGAAGTAAAATTGTCTCTGCCTGCAAATGACATGTTCTCATGCATAGAAAAGCTTAAAAGACTCTACCAAAACACTGTGAAAACGAATAGTAAAGTTTCAGGATATAATACCAACACACAATCTTACCCATGGAGTAATCACTGACTAGGTACTCCTTCACCTCAGACTTGTTTCCGCTGTGCACTGTTTCCAGGGCACTGAACAAGGGCCTCCATCC